CAACCGTTCACTTAGTGACTGTTATAAATGTTAACAGGTCTGAAAAAAGTGACTTATGATTATTTTTCACACTTACAACCGTTGCAGCATCTATGAGACACATGATCAAAATTCAGATGCTTTGCAACTGTTATATATTTATGACACTTAGACTCCCAGGCAGTGTTAGGTTTCCATTTTCTTACTACTGGTTCGCTCGTGCGCACACGCACAGTCATGCACAATGCTTCTGTGCATGCACAGAAGCATCCAGGAGGGTGAGTGGAGCCTCCCACCACTGTCACTACCAGTTCACCCAATCCGGTCCTAACCAGAAGCCTCTTGTCTCAGGGTCATGTGATCTGTTTTTGTGACCTTCTGTGGCAAATGTGGCAAGAAAGGTCATAAAATGGGGCAAATTCACTTAAGAAATGTTTCCCTTAGCAACAGAAAATTCAGGCTTAATTGTGGTCACAAATTGAGGACTAAATGTAATCAATGTTCTAATTTATTCCTGGATCTCCAAATGGCATTCTAATTTCACTCTTCTTGTTTCTAGCCCCGGGAGGGCGAACCAATGACACGTTGCCCTGTCAGCTGGCCAGCCTTTTTTAAAGCCATTTTCCCCCTCCCCAGGCTCCAGAGATTTTATAGGAGCATGGAGAGGGCAAAAAGAGCCTCCCCCACCCCCTCCAGAGGCTCTCCAGAGGCTTCAGGATCTTCCCTGAAGCCTCCAGAGCACAAAAAACCGGCCCTGTGGGTAAATTGGAAGTTTGGGAATGGACTGTCAGTTTGCTTGGAGGGTTGGTTTAAGGTCCCAGAGGCTTCAGGAACCTTCAGAAGGCTTCCCTGAAGCCTCCAGAGGACTAAAAACCATCCTACGAACAAACCGGAGGGTTTTTTGCCCTTCGGAGGCTTCAGGGAAGCCTCCTGAAGGTCCCTGAAGCCTCCGGAGGGCTTAAACCAACCCTATGAGCAAACCAGAAGTGACTTCTGGTTTGCTTGTAGGGTCATTTTCTTGCCCTTCGGAGGCTTCAGGGAAGCCTCCTGAAGGTCCCTGAAGCATCAGGAGGGCTTCCAGGGGGGGGGGAGCTGTTTTCACCCTCCCCAGGCTCCATGGGAGGAGTGCCTCTCATGCGTGCATAAGCACTGGGGGGTTTGCACATTGCATTATGGGTGCAGCACGCTCACACATGACCCCCCTACGTTCCCTTCTTATGGTACGCGAGCCAAAAAAGGTTCACCATCGCTGTTCTAACCCATTGCTTCATATCATGTATCCTCATTGCATTCATTCAAAATGTTTCAAGGAAGTTCTTTCATCCTTCACTGAATTATAACATGCAACATCCATGCATCCATACACATATGCAAAAACCTTACCTTTGCCATACATTTGAGTACTTACCTTCATAATTAAGTCTATATTTTCTTTTCTTTTATGCCTTCATAAAAATAACTGTATGTGATCAAATCACTTTGAATAATATCTTCCTTATTTTTTCTTAGTTTTAGAGGCAATTATTTTGTTTTTTTCTCTCTATTTGTTTAGTTAATTCATTTTATTTATCATGTACTTTTTTAATACCAAGTTACAACTTGCATGATCATCAGCACAGGACTCTTGAATATTTTACTCCATTGGTCGTTGATTATGGCTTTGATTAACCAAGACGTTTACATTTTACTCAATAAAATAAAGACAATGTAGCAAAGTTAGCAGGTTAATTGTCCTCATGCTATATGCAACAATTACTATTAAGAGTTTCATTGGACACAGTAAGAAGTATTCGTATGTCAATGCTTCATACATACTTAGCTACATTTTAAAACAAAAAAAGAGTTAAATGTTGCACATTTTTAAAAAATTCAGTTTGACATTATTATGGTCACAGACCAATGTACAGATATATAGTTAACAGATAACACAGGCAATATACAATTCAGATACAATAAACTAATATAATTTTTAAAAACCATATTAATTTTTATGTTATCTACCTGAATAAGAATAATATTGTGAGAGTAAAATGTGAGAATAAATTCTAATTTTCAAAATTCCATTTATAAAAGGAAACGTAGTATATTCATTCATTATTTATTTATTTATTTATTTATTTTGTATAACCATCCATCTCAATCCAGTAATTCTGGGTGGTGAATAATCATAAAACCAATTAAATTGGTATCAGCATAAACATAGACCTTCACATACTTGAAGGACACCACTAGGTCTTTAGGGCCTTCCAAAACATCAGCAGGGCTGGGACCATCCTAATTCAGGAGGGTGTTTAAGAAGGCAGGCACTATGCAGAAAAACATGACTTTTGGTCTTTGTTAGCTGACATGACTTGGTCAGTGCATGCACAAGGTGTATACCCATCCTGCTAGACAGGATTGGATGAATAAAAACAAATGGAAGGTAACTCTGTCCTATGCCATAAAGGACTTAGGTACCAGTATCTAGAATTCCATATGAAAACACAATAGCAAACAATGCAATCCCTGAAGGAAAGATGATACATTGCTGAATAGCTGACACCATTTGCAACCCATGCAACTGCCTTCTGTACCAGCTGAAATTCTTAAATGCTCATCAAGGGCAGTACCATATAGAGTGCATTGCAATAATCCAAATGAGAGGTCATGAGCCCTCTAATCTAGGAATCAAAGCTACTGGCACCAAGCCCAAAGGCAGTCTTAGTAACAGCAACCATCTGCTGTTCCAGCAGGAGTCATGAGCCCAAGAAGATGCCCAGATTGTGCATCAGGTCCATTTGAGACAGTGCCACTCCATCCCTGGAGCCAGAGATGGAAAAACCTTGGTACCAGAAAGCCCAAGAACCTACAGCCACTCCATTTTGCTTGCTTTTAGCCAAAGTCCATTTTGCCCATCCAGTCTCCTACAGCCTCTAGGAACTGAGACAGGACTCAGGAAGCCCACGGGGAGGATATTAGCTGGGTATTATCAGCATATTAATGATACCTCACCCCAAATCATCAGATCACCTCACTTAATGGCCACATATATATGTGAGATAAGGGGAAGAGACAATAAAACTCTGTGGGACACCACAAATCAGGAGTCATGTGCTGTACCTCTTCATTCTTATCATCATCACCTGGAACAAACCCCAGAGGGAGGAGAATTAGCACAGCACTGTGCCCTCTATTACCAATTCCTGAAGCCAGTCCAAAAGAACACTATGATTGAAGGCCGCTGAGAGGTCAAGAAGAGCAAAGATGGATACACTATCTCTCTCAAGCTCCTGCCAGAGATCATTCAGGAGCATAATCAACACTGTCTCAGTCTTAATTCCCAGCCTGAAAGTGATCCAGATAATCCATGTCATCTAAGCCCTTTGAATTTGCCATGAGACCACTTTCTCTACAACATTTCTTGGAGAAGAATAACTGAATATTTCTTATGTTATACAATTTTGATAATTGTACTATTATAATTTCTAATGGTAGAAAGAACTTTAAATCTGCATAGGAAAGAAAATGGAGGAGGGGTGCATTTATGCAATAAATCCCATTGAGTTCTGTGGAATATAATCCAGAAAAAATACATTCTGTAGATATGTTTTGGATTTAATTTTAAGACTGCTTTTAACTTATTTGACAATAACGTCTGCTGCTTATAGTGGTATTTATTTGGAATAGATTCCTTTACAATAAAAACAGTTACTGTGATTATTGAGATAATTATGGAGAAGCAGGATTGATATTTGTAACAGAACCCAGTTTGTGGTGCAAATTTACTATATTGTTTAAAATTTTATTTCTTTCATTGATAATATGAAATTTACAATATGAACTCTTCTTATGAAAGCATTCTTAATTTAGGAGATCATATTACCTTTTTATTGCATATATGCTCAATTTTCTGTGTGAAGTAGAAACCGTAGTAAAGTTTAGAAATCTTACCTTCCAGTGAAAACCAGCATATTCCTTTTCAAACCTTACTTATATGAAGAAATGTTTAACAATGAAATGCATGAGACTGTATTTTATGACACTTCTGTCCTCTACCCAAAGGAATTGAATCTTATTTTATGGTTTTGTTTTTAAATGACTTATATTGAGGTGTTTATTTTGTCTAAAGTTAATTTCTATTAATGTTTGTAAAATTGAACATGATGCATATTTCTTTTAAGAGGATGGAAAATATAGTCCCCAATCCCACATTTGTTTCTTTAAGAAAATATAGCTTTTATGTTTAGAAAATTTGGTTGGTAAGGAATTGTATAACCTATAGTTCTTTATAATTTTGAAAAACAATAATTAAGAAGCAGACCTTAATTTTGGTGAATCAAAAGTGCAATTCATTTTCAGCTGGTCAAAGCAACTGATAACAAGGATTTCCCCTTCCTCTTTATACTCTACTGTTTTTCCATTTGCTGTATAATGATGATGATGATATCCAGAAATGTATTTATTTTAGGTTGAATGTTTCACACAAATAAGGAGATGTCCCTTGCATTTTCATTTCAATGTGATAAAGTAATTATTTTATTTAATTATTTGAAACGCTCATTTTCAATGAGAGGAAAAAGATCAGACCCAGCCCATTCTTCAGATTGACACTACTCCAGGTTCGGAAAAGAAAAAATAATAATAAAAAGAAACTATTTTATAACTGCAGGATGAAGCATCCATCTAGAAAAAAAAATGTGATCCAAGTATTTATGAGATTTATGAACAAATATTCTAGGAATTGGTCGAAGTTGAAATCATTTTCTTACTAATTTTGTCATTAAAACCCATTTTAATACTTAAAGAAAATAAAAGGTAATTCAGAAATATTGTGTTCAAATAGTAGTGCAATTGTCCCATTCCCACCTCCAAAAGAATTCCAACTGGTGGTTGAAACATGCTCCTTTAATTTTGCAGTATTATGCAAATACCTCACAGGAGACCAACACCTGTTATCAAAGAAATTTAAAAAGTCACTGTGACACTACCACCTTCCCTTGAACCCTTGTTCATTGCTGACTGTGCTCTTGTTTCCCTTTAAGGTCTGGCGCACTTGATGATGGGCGACCAAGGTATGGGTTCTGCTCCTTTTCCACTCTGCTTCAATCATTTTATTTTATTTTATTTTATAAAAGTCTTTGTTTATTTTTTGTGTAGCTGCTTCAAAGCCCATCATAAGAAATGATGGTCAAATGCTTGTGAGCTGTCTCAGGCTGTAAATAATCACACAGTCCTAGTTACATCTTTCGTTTCTCCCCCCCCCTCTTTTGCACTGTGTGTCTATAAATGGATATATCTTATGTTGCTGTTATTTTTTTACTATTTGCTCCCTTTGTTCTATTTTTTTATTGTTTCCCTCATCCCACTAACAATAAAATAATTGTTTAAAAGGGTGCCATTTCTAAAAATCATATTGAGAAATTGCTTTGAGTTTAAATATAATGTTGATCATAAATCTGAAATGCACTCTTCACATAGATATGAAAAAAAAACTTGACTTATAACCCCCCCCCCCAAAAAAAAGAAAGAAATCTGCTTTGCATTAATGCATGGTTGTTTGGAAAATGCAGAAACCATTTGTTTTTGGCTTCTGGAATGTTAAGAAAACTTTTTTGCAGCATAATGGAATTAGTGATGTGACCTCATCACCTTGTGAAAAAATTTGCCCACCCAACCCAGTGTTCATGTTACTTTTGTGTCATGCCTTTGAAAAATGAAGCATGGGTTACTTCTGTATTTTTGTGCATGTACATGAAAGTTGGAAAGCAGTAATTCTTAAAATGTGACACCAACTGCATCTCCATTTGTCTTCAATCATTTGCCTCAAGCTTTGTCTCTTTTCATGTTTGGACTGTGATGGCATTTACATTTACACACACAACTCTTACTGTTGTTTCTCTTTTGTTTTCTCTTCTGTCTGGCAATACTTTCTTCATGGAACCATTTCATCAAATCCATAGGTAAAAGTAAAGGTATTACATTACTTTCTTCTTTCCTTCCTTCTACCTCCCTTCCCATTCTTTTAAAAATCATCTATACACTGTAAAGTATGTCTGAGTGATGCAAGTACTGTATATTTATTTAGTGTTGGTACATTGTGTTGGTGGGAGGTAGGTATGCTTTTTTATTTTACAAGAAAAGTTGGTATGGGTCAGGAGGAAAAACAGACTCAAAAGTTTTTTCAAGAATGTTTGTGCCTTGAATACGAATAACAGGGCTGTGGTGCTATAATCTAATGTTATCATGACAGTGTAAAAAGCATATAGATGACATAGTCCATTAGCCAAGTTTTCCAGTACAAAAATTACGCATGGATCAAAGATATGACAGAGATGGGCAGAAATATAGGTGAGAATTAATTGCTAATAGCTAAAAACTTTAGTGAGTGTACAATATATGGTATTAGAAAGGCGATGCCAAGCACCAATATTTGTTTGGAGAAAATTTAAGGAGGAAAGGATGGGGATGGGTTGATAGAGGCTTTTCCAGGACCGAAGCTTGGAAGAACAATCGGGGGCAGGCCCTGGAGAAGCTGAATTCAACTAACCATCTGAGGTATGAATTCTGTTTTCATTGACCTCCAAATGCAAAGCATATCTGTCAGAAGCTGTCTTTAAGCATGAAGTCACCAGATAGCTGGCCCAAGGTCCACTGCAATGACATGTAAGTCTAAGTACCATAAGAGCAGAGCTTTTGTCTACTATAGAAGGTTGGCTACAGTTTTGTCTGTAAGAGTTTTGTGCATAGGTTTTTAACTTTGTGTGTACAGCTCAAAGCATGGCTAAAACAAGAGAGAAAGGAGACCCAGAAGATTAAAAGAAAATAATGTCAGGGTCCCAAGTAACACCCCCAATGAAAGATATGCCCAAATGTAAAAGATGGCTTCCAGGTCTGACAAGTACATTGTGTAAGATTTTTGGGGAAGAGACCTTATTTGTCCTCTTAAATTTATTATTTAAACCTCTATGTGAGAACAAGTAAAAACAGGCAACTCTTGTATCATTATATAGTAATTAAAAATGAAGTGTAAACCATCCAAAGCATTTTAGTGTCACTCTGACTTTAAGTGGAAAATGAAACACCCAATTTTCTTTTGTTGATATCAGTGGAACTCAAAAGGATTTCCAATTGAAAGAGTGTCAAAATATTTAAGTATATATAGTATGTATGTATGCTTGTGTGTTTCTGGAAGTAAATTGTTTTGGCAATGTAATTGTATCATTTGGTTAACATATGAACCACAGAATTTTCATCCACTCTCCATTTTACATTCCATTTTACTGAATGTATTATAAACTACCCAAACTGTTACAATAAATGGTGCTGCTTGCCTACAATTTGCCCCTTAAGCCAGTTGCTTTAGTGTACCTGGCAGATACTATCAGGAATGACATCACTGTAATAATACAATAAAAATATAATAAAGAAAAAATGAGATATTTTTGCCCATTCTTAACATCTAAATCCTCCCTTTGCCTAATAATAGGCTCAGCTATATATGCACCAACAGAAAATGTATTCTGAGAGTAGGTTTGCTGATGCTGTTCCTTCACCTTAATCTGTTCTATAGAACTTTACCTTCTTGCCGTTTGTAAGTTAAAATATTAAAATCTTGCAGTTTAGTGCATGTGGTACTATGCCTAAAAATGCCTTAAAAACTACAGTTCAATAAGTTATTCAAATAAAAAGCAAGAGGAGGAAAACACCAGAATTATACATGATTATTGATGTAAATGGGAAGGATTAAAAAATGCAAATTATTCTTTATGAGATATAAATGTGAATAAAGAAGAAGTTCCTCTAACACTATCATACTATCACATGTAGGGCTGGCCTTGATTTATTCAGATCCAAAAAGAAATGACCATTGGGGTTAGGGATGGGGACAACCTATATTATTTATCTCTTCAAAGTGCTTCATATAATCAGGAGTTTTCTGTGATGGTAAAGTCCCTATGATAATGGAATGCAGATATAGTTCAGCAAGGAAGTGGGTAAAATAGTGAAAGCAGCAAGGTCATGACCCAGTGGGAGGAAAAACACATCCTCTTCTAATAAAACATCCCTCCTAAGGCTAAATGATTTGTGGACATATGGTGAACCTCCTATTATGAACAACAATATATATACATACATACATACATACATACATACATACATACATACATACACATACATACACATACATACATACACACACACACACACACATACATACATACCTAACATTATTTGATTTCTTTTCCTATTTTATATATTGACCATATCATATAAAAACTTTATATTAATAGTCATTAAATCAGCAATCTACAACATTTAAACACATACTAGCATCATCAGAAATAATATATTTTTCCCATTTGTCTAAAACCTGCAATTTATTTCCTTCTTGCCGATATTTATTATATTTTTCCCTCCTTCTGACATGGGATTTGAGTTGATATGCATGATTTTAAAAACAAAAACAAATCATGACATCATTATGGAATAAAAATTATTAATCCTCATGCAATAAGTTTGATAGCAAATAGGGATTTAATCAACAATGTCATTTTCACACAACAATCCTTTATAGTTTAAGCCAGTGGTTCTTAACCCAGGTCCTTATACCCTTTGTGGCTACATAGATAGATTTTTGGGGAGGGTCAATTAACCTGGATTGGGGGGGGGAACTACAATCTTATTTTCAAAATAATTTAAATTTACCTTTTCATTCATTAATTTATGTAGATAACAATGTAATTTATGATGCCTAGCCCCTGAAATGTTTAACTTCAGTAAATTTTATTATTATTATTATACTTAAAAATTATCTCAATATTGATTTAATGGATTAATAAAGTTACATATTTGTTATTTTTCAATATTTTGATGTCTGTATTTAATCATAATTCATTTCCTATGCAGTCTATATCTGTGCATTCTTATGCAAGGTATTGATTGCAGTGAAACAATAGATTCTCAAAGGAACTCACGGCAAAAAAGCTTTAAAGCCTTGACAGTAAGTGACTCCTGAATTTTTTTTGTTTTGTTTTTGTGACCCTCAAATGCATTCCGAACCACAATTCCTCAAAGCCAGAAGAATGATTTCTTGCCATTCAGAGGCACAAACTTCCTGTAATTAAAAAAAAAAACAGTTTTGAGTCCACTATATCCATAAAATCACAGCTTCTTGCTTTTTATGCTACTGCAATTTTATTCCAGTACTATTATTAAACATTGGTTTTAGCTCCCTAAATTTTCTTCTAGTAAGCTTTTCTTCTTGTTTCATATTCTCATCTTTCATTACCAACCTCATTGCTTCTTCATTTCTATCTTTCATGTGTTCCTCTATCACACAGATACACACTCCATATGCTCACACACAAAAACGCACTTGCAAAGCATTGCAAAATAATTTCTTTATGAATGAGAAATTCCAGTAGAACATTTTTATATTTTATTTATGTATTTATCCCACTTTTATTACTTTTATAAATAACTCCGGCCAGCAAATATATCTAATACTGCTTCCTCCTCCCATTTTTCTCACAATCAAAACCCTGTGAGGTGATCTGGTCTGAGAGAGACTGACTGTCCGAAGGGGACCTAGCTGGTTATCTTGGCTAAAGCAGGACTATAACTCACGGTTTCCTGGTTTCTGCCATATGGTCTTAATCACTAGACCAAACTGGTATTTTTATTTTTATTGCCCATTTCCATCTTTTACCCTGTTTTTAAAAGAACAAACAGCCAAAGCAATCAGTTTTATTTTCATGCCCCATGATTAAATCAATTACATTACAATTAAATCAGTTAAATCAAATTAAATCAAAATAAAGTTTAAATTCTCCATTTCTGAGTTAGCTTTGTTTTTCCTCATTTACATGGTCATATAACTGATATCACCAGCTGTGGGAGGTCCTTTTTTTTTTTTTTTTTTGAATAGGTTTTGCTTGAAAAATCTAACTGGCATCAAAATTCTTAATGGCTGTTAAAGAAGCTTAGTATTGAATTCCATCAAACATTTTGGCCACCTAATGAGAAGGAAGGACTCATTGGAGAAGAGCCTAATGCTGGGAAAGATTGAGGGCAAAAGAAGAAGGGGACAACGGAGAATGAGGTGGCTGGATGGAGTCACCAAAGCAGTAGGTGTAAGCATAAATGGACTCCAGAGGATGGTGGAGGACAGAAAGGCCTGGAGTAACATTGTCCATGGGGTTGTGATGGGTTGGACATGACATTAATACCATTCAATGTCTAAAGTTTCATATATCTCAGCTTAACACATCAGAGTCAACAGGGCTCTGTTATTACAGGTAGTTCTCACTTATTGAGCTTAACAAATTTCTGTTGTTAAGCGGGTTTTGCGCCATTTTAAGATCTTTCTTGTCACAGTTGTTAAGTGAATCACTGCAGTTGTTAAGTTAGTAAAAAATAATCACACATGGTATTTAATAATCTTATAAATTATGACTTACTGATCTTCAAACTGTGATTATATATGTGTGTGTGTGTGTGTGTATACACACACACACACATATAATCACATGATAATAGAATTGCTATCCTTACAAATGATGCAGGTTTATTAAAATTTAATGTAAACTTTAAGGTAATGGCAAATCTTGTTCCATTGTGTTAATACTAGAAATGCAATTGTGGAAATGTCTGTAGAGATTCTCAGTCATCCAGGCAGGTCATGGTTGTCCCAAAGGTGCTTTTTCTTAAAGCAACTGGACTTTCTTGGTTTTTCTTTGAAGATGCTTCACTTCTCATCCAAGAAGCTTCTTCAGATCTCACAGGATAGTAATAATCCTCTCAGAGTTGAATAAGTTTCTTGGATGAGAAGCGAAACATCTCCAAAAAATAAACAAATTCCAGATGCCTCCAGAAAAAGCACATTTGAGATAATTGTGGAATTTGATGTCATTTGCACTTTACCTGAAATATTTGTCTCTATGTCAGACACAGGGGCGTAAACATCCTAGTC